TTGTCTTTTTGAGACAGGGTCTCACCATGCAGTTCAGGCTGGCCTTGAGCTCACTTTGTAGCCCAGGCTGGTCTCGAACTTGCAGCAATCCTCCTGCCTCAGCTTCCCAAGTGCTGGGATTATAGGAGTGTGCCACCATGCCTGGCCAATGCTAGTTAATTCTTCAAGTCTTTAGTTTGATCAGTAGCTAAAACATGCACTCCACATGTCTGTTCCTGAGGTATGGGTTTAACAGATTGAGAGGATATTCTAGTTTCTGGAGTAAACTAGAGCTGCCACTAAGGGCTGGAGCAAACATCCAGCAGGAAGGCTCTAGGTTTACTTGTGTTCCTATACTGCCCCAAATCTATTACTCTCAAAAGGGAAGTAGCTGCTAGCTGGGCATGGTGGCACACTTGTAATCCCAGCACTTGGGAGGATGAGGCAGGTGGACCGCTATGAGTACGTGGTACTACATAGTGAGTTCATGGGTTACCTAGTGAGTTCAATCCCAGTCTGGACTGCAAAATGAGACACTGTCTAAAAAAAAGAAAAACAAAAAAGAAGTGGCACCTAATGGGCAGACTACAGCTGCATTTGGGCTTGGGGTGATAGGCAGTGCCAGGCCGTCCTTCAAACTGGAAATACTAAAATACTAAAGACATTCAGGTTGTACAACGTAGCAGCCTCCAGGATTCTGCTGTCAGCCTAGGAAAGTGATTCCTGAAGAATCTGGCTGGCAGATCCAGTAGGACCTGACGACAAGCTGGGAAGCAAGAAATTGCCGGAAAGGAAGCATGTTTTAGGCACACTCCAGGTCCCTCTGGGCGTCCCTCCACCCTGCTCTTGCTTAGGAGGTGGATCGGAAAGCACACATCACCAGGCTGCCTTTGCTCTGGCCATGGGGAGCTCTGGGAGAAAATGGAGAAAAAGATTTATTTTCGTTCCCCCCAAGCCCACTCGCACCTGGATATGCCCCTCTGCTCAGGGTCACTGCTGCTCTCGGGTGGTTTGCCCCATGCCTCTCCCTTCGGAGCTCTAAGAGCTGTGCTTCTCCTTGTCTCGTTGGGCCCAGCAGAGCTGACCACTTGGTTGTTCCTGACCTGTGATACTACCTTTTCCTGAGACCTCCACAGACATTCTTTGTAAACATACTTTCCTGATAACTATCTGGGGTGTGTTTTTTACGTTAGGACCCTGGGTGGTGACACGTTGTGCCCTCTCCTTGTCTTCAGGGCTGTAAGTGGTGGAGTGCCTACAGCCCAGCATCCCTCTATGCCCCGGAAACTTGTTCTGTCTACTCTGCAACGCCTCTGCCATCACTCCCCTCCATTCTTCCCTAGCTAGATGTGTGAGCTGGTACCCGGTCACCTCCCATGTTACTTCCCTGCCCAGCCAGAGGTGCCTCCCATTCATTCCGAGGCCCTGGACTGCAAGGTTGCCTGTGGGCTGACACTGGGCTTTCTGGCATCAAGGAACCTAAGCTAGAGGGCAGTTCAGCAAGCTCAGGGCTTCCTTCCTGGTTTATGAAGGCTTTCCCCACCCCGTAGTTCTACGCCCCACTTCTGGGCTCAGGTCCTTTCGTCTACTAGGGGCAGTGAACAAGACTGTCCAAAAGACTGCACCCGCTCTTCGCTACCCTGTCATTAGAGGAAATACAGGACATTTCAGGGAAGAAGAACCGAGTTTCCTGTCCGTCCGTCGCAGGGCAAGGCTGGCTGTCAGCTGGTTCTGAAAGGGCTGGAACGATGATCTCGGGGCTGGGAGAACTGAGAAGAGGCCCTTGTACCTGGCATCGCTGCAGGAACGCTGGTGGAGGCGGAGGCTTGGCTGCACGGCGATACTCTCCAGCACTTTCACTCTTGACTTGGCCTCTAAAGTGCCCATAGAAGCCACTGTTGTGCTATAACAAAGCGGTCATTAGGATAAAGCCCACTCACACCACGAGGACAATCCCATCTTCAGGGTACTGCCGATGGTGTCAGAGCAGCCAGGTCAGAAACTCCTCACTGGAATTGCTAAAGAACAGAAATAATCTGAAGAGGCGGAACATCCCTGGAAAACCCACCAGGGGCCGTTATTGAGACAGTTTGCCTGAGTGTGCTCACCCACCTGGGAGGGCGGGGTGAGACAGGGGCACCTTTATTCAGTACAGACTTCTGGCTGTCCAGGGGTGTGGTCCTTGTCTAAGGAACCTGAAAGGAAGCCCCCTTGGTTGTCCTCCCCACAGCGTTAGTAGTGGATGAGGCACCCCCCCCCCCAAGTCAAGGGTTAAATAGACCCTTCTGCATCTACGGACACAGCTGTGAACACTGATTTTCCCTACTTTGCCATTCTGGGACAAAGGGGGCATGCTATGAACTTGGAGCACTAAAGCAAGGGAGAAACTTCCCAAGTGAAGTGTTTAACTAACAGAGAATAACTTCTGGAGAGAACTGCAGAGAGAGACAGACAGACAGAGACAGAAACAAGAGAACTGACAGAAGACAGAAATGAATACCTATCAGGGGTCCAAGAAAGGATTGTACTGCGCTGATGTCACTAGGTGGACACCTTGTGAATAGTCTGGGAACTCGGATGGCCCGGTCTTTCGGTGCTGAGTTCTCCTGAGGATAGCAGTATCTGCTCCTCCAGAATCACAACCCTGGGCAGAGGAACTTGTCCTGAGTCTGGCCTCTGGTTGCCAGAGTAGCCTCCTCAGCAGGCCTGGGAAGCCCTGTGTGTTTTTCACCCAATTAAAGACAGGTGATCTTACTTATCTGTCCACCCACACACACACTAGTAAGAACCATCTGCTGTCTAGTTTTGCTTAATAGTATTTACTGGATTGCAGGCAAGGAGCTGGGTTCAGGAAATAAAAAAGGCAAAACCTGCAATTATTGGCCCGAGATATTCCCAGACTAAAAAAGCAACCAAACTCCAGACATTTGGGAGGTGAGTTCAAACAGTGAAGTGGGAATAAATGAGGTGATGAGAGGACTAGGAGGTTCGGCTGGGGACCTTGGATTGAGGAGAGGATGCATGGGAAGACTAGGCAGGCTTCAGGTGATCTCAGAATGGAAGAGGGTAAGAGACTAGCTCAGGGTTCTCCCCCAGCCTGGATGCTGGATGAAACCTTACTTAAGAATCGGATTTTATGGACAACCCAGGGCCAGGGGCCAGAGTTAACTATAAAGTGCACTCTTACCCAGGAGCCTACTAAAGCACTTTCCATCTTTCCAGGAAGGAAGCAGAAAAGGCAATTTTTCCTCTTGTTGAGGTCACATCTGAGGAAAGAGAACCTCAAGAAGTCCACTTCTTGTTGCTTAGCGACAAGAGGAGGTTGTGACTGCACAATACAGCTGTTTATTGAGGCAGCGCCTGATCTGTTCCTCCTTTGTTCTCGCTGCTTTGTTTTTTTCTTCTCTGTGAGAGAACTCCTCAGCATTATCAGCCCGGGAGAGCCCTTACATAAACACGTAAGGCTCCACAGTGGAACCTGATTGATTCACAATCAATGAAATATTAAAAAGTCGACATCAATAATTGTGTACACCTGTCATCCCAGGCAGGAGGCTCTCAGGTTGAGGCCAGCCTGGGGCTACATAGTGAGATAAAGGCCACCCTGAATTACATAGTAAGACCCTGTCTCAAAACACTTTAAAAAAAAAAAAAGAAAGATTAAATGTTTAGAGGCAACTCTTGCATTTTAACACCTATGCAACCACACTGCCAGGGTTATAAATTTAGAAAGCATTCACGGATTCAGAAATGTTAAACAGGTTAGTGGTTCTTAGGATAAATTTGCTGCTTCTAAATAAGGCTCTGCTAAATTATCTCTTAGGAGTTTGTGTGATTGGTAATTGTGACAGGTGAATATTACAAGGGCCTGAGTGCAGGGGGAGAGCATAACACAGCACGAGAAGGAATATGCAAAGATTTAACATACTGCTCCCATTCTTTTTTTTTTTTTTTTTTTTGTCTTTTTGAGACAGATCTCGCTATGCAGTTCAGGCTGGCCTTGAGCTCACTTTGCAGCCCAGGCTGATTTTGAACTCTCAATAATACTTCTGCCTCAGCCTCCTGAGTGCTGGGATTACAAGTGTGCGCTACGGTTCCATTCTGAGCTATCCTTGGACAAGTTATTGACATTTGCTTTTATTTGTTAATAGGAACCTGAACACTGGGCAATCAGCCTCTAAAAATGTGTCAGTTGCCAGTAAAAAAATCTAACATGTGGTTGTGGTTGTGTACAACTATAATTCAAGGACTTGGGAGTCAGGAGGATTGCCGAGAGTTCACAGCCAGCCTGGGCTGCAGGAGAATCTTTGCAAGTTCGAGACCAGCCTGGGCTACAAAGTGAGCTCAAGACCAGCCTGAACTGCATAGTGAGACCCTTGCCTCAAAAAGACCAAAAAGGGCTGGGGATATAGCTCAGTGGCTCAAGTGCCTGACTAGCAAGCACAAGGTCACGAGTTTGATTCCCAGTAGCAAAAAAAAAAAGACCAAAAAAAAATTTTTTTTTCAACACTAGGAAACACTGAGATCCTGTTGTTTGCCCTGGGACAATCCCTAACGTTAAGAAAATCTACCTTAGTCTAGCTGTCCCACAGAGCTCATGATAGGACCCACTGTATTAAAATTATCCAAAATGCTTTGGACCACAAATTTTTAGATGTCATAGCATTTGAGATTATGAAATATTAGCCAGGATGGTAGTGCTTAGTCAGTACAGGGAGTGTCTGTAATGCCAGCACTCTGGAGGCTGAGGTAGGAGGATTGCCATGAGTTCATGCTCAGCCTGGGCTACATGTGAGTTCAAGGTCAGCCTGAACTACATGGCAAGACCCTGTCTCAAAAAAAAAAAGATTATGGAATATTTGCATATATAATAAAATATCTTAAGAACTGGAATCTAAACCTGAAATTTATGTTTTATATATACCTTACACACATAAGCTGAATGTAATTATGAGGAATATATATATAATATATATATATATTTGTGGTA